AGGCATGACTGGGTTAAATTCAAGGATTATTGATACAATTAAGAACAATTGTTTCAAAAAAGCTCTTAACATTCACATATATTTGAAATTGAGACTTGTATTTAAGTGATCATAATGAACCAAATTTCAATATTAAAATAATTCATTATGGTGATTCATGATCAACAAAAAGTGATAAATCAATATAAATATGTTCATAAATCAACATAAGGTTGTTAGTTTAGTGACCAAGTATAGGACTATAACTTCTAAGTTTTTTTACTTAAAAGGTACTAATTTAAGACAACACTTCAATATTTATAAATGTCTCTCTTACCGTCACTCATTTTAGAAATTTAACTATTAAAATTATTGTATTTGTCTTTAAATGCATTAGAGATAAAGTCAAATCATTATTTTTTAATATTAAAATTTATTGTATTTGTCTTTAAATGCATTAGAGATAAAGTCAAATCATTATTTTTTAAAAGTTCATTCAAAGATGTTCATTGTATAAAAGAAATTCATCATTGACCCAATTGGCATCCAAAAAGTGAAATAGGTGAGAGTGAATTAAGTTTAAAAAAAAACTGCTGCTCACATCTTAAAAGACATTGTGTATAGCTTTACTTTTCATTTTTTTTAGTATATTTTTTAGAGAGCCATGCAAACAATTTCTCTCCCTCTTCTCATATAACCAAGCCCACTTCTCAAGCAATTTCTCTCCCCTTTCTCATATAACCCAAAACCCACTTCTCATCTTTCTCTCTCTGATTAAGGTTTAAAGAACATTGGGCTTGCTTGCTTGAGCTTGACCTCCAGCAGACAATGAGAATGGAATCAAAGGAGAACAAATGGAAGAGGATGTTGCTGTTGTTTATTCCAAGGACCAGTACAATATCATTTCAACTTTCAGGCAATGGAATCAAAACTTTTGCTATATATCCTGGTTACGTTTAATCCAGCTGACAATTTTTTTGTTATTAGGAGTTACCATGTGGTGAAAATGAGAGGGAAAGAAAAAGAGAGAGTAAATAAATGAGGATGGTGAATGTATAATGAATTTTCCCATGCCGCACCTGTAAAGTTTAAATATAATATTTACAAGTCTAAACGTTGCATTTTAATAGTACATTGAGCAAAACGATTCTGCACTTTTAAAAGGTTTAAATAACTATAACTGTGCATTTGATTCCATATTATCCACAAAAATATATCGTGACACCATTGGATTATTTCTGTTAAAGAGTTTTTTTAAGAGAAATTATTAAAATAATATAAATTAAAAGGAACATGCACTGGTTGCCATGTAAAATTTAAAATTTCCAGTCAGCATGTTTTTACTAAGAAACATACAATTGAAACGATACACTTAACTGCCTAACAATATTTTCTTTTTTTTTTTATCCACTTAACAAGAGGTCTCAAATTGATGGTTAAAAAACAAGAGACCGCAAATTTCGGGCCTAAAAATACACCAACGTTTATGATAGAATTTCTACTAAAAAAGAGTCCCAATTCAGCTCAATTTGAATTAATTCAAGCTCCTATCAAACTCAGCTCGATGTGAAGTTGGTACCTGATATGATGTTTGGATAAAAAAAAATCAAAAACTAATTAAGATTTTCCTCTTGACATTTTCCCCATTTTATTCCCATCCAATGCTTTTAAAACTGAACCAAATATTAAATAAAAAATGTTAGTAACTTTGGGTTCAAATAATCCAACCCGATTGAACCAATAATTGAATTAATGACTGAATCAATGACATAAGAGTTAAATTAAAATAAATTATATATATAATAATAATCTAAATATAAAAAATAAATATAAACTTACAATTTAACTTAAAAATAAAATTAAATATTTTAAACTTATTATGACTTAATAAATCATATAATACAACATAATATTAAATAATTAAAAAATAAATCATTATAATAAAAAAGAAAAAGGAAAAATAATATTTTTTAAGCTATCCATTTTTTAAGGATCGGATCCAACTCCTAATCCAAAACAGTCTAACCTAACTGTTCAATCGATTTTGTCAGTTTGATCGGGCCATTAACCTGACCAATCAACAACGAACAGTCCAGTTTGAGTTTTCAATCATTGATTTTATATATATGATGGTTTATTAATTTCTTATGAATGAAAAAAAAAAAGAAGCCAGATGGGTCGTGCAATCAGTGACGGGCAGAAGAAGGAGAGAGGAGACAGGATCATTAGGAAATGGTAAAAATTAATTGCATTCCACACGTGAGAGATAGAAGTCAAAGGTTCATAAATCACCATGGATGAACGTTACTGAGGCAAACATCGATGTTTACTTTAACGACATCAACAGATGGACTCTAAACCCAAAACTCAAATCATCAGAATATGAAATACAAATAATTAAATTTCAGCGAATCCTTCACTATTTTTTCTTGCCTCCACCAACTGCGTTATTCCCTCCTGCAGATTGAGCTGCCTTCCTTGTTGCTTTCTCTTGTAATGCCTTTGCATCTCTGCAAATCACAGGCAGAATACACAAGACCAAGGTATTAGAAAGCATTCAACATAGACAGACAACAACAAAATCTTATTCATGCATAATTCAATTTCTGGAGTAATGTGGCAGCAAGATCCTATGGAGACCAGACCTGAGATTATAATGAACCAACCTTAAATCTCCACTCACACTTAAACTAATAAAAAGTATTTCAATAATTGCAGGCCACGCTTGGTTACCTCCACAGGAAAGGAAAGAAGTATTCCATCCCATTAGATGAAATTTGAGATATTTAATCTCCATTATACCCCCGATATCATTACTTAACATTAACTATGCATATATTTTTAATTTTTTTTATTCAAGGACATCAAAAACACTTCTCAGGAAATCGCTTTTCTGTCCCATTGCCTTGTTCATTCCATCCTGATGGGGCAGATCAATTGGTATCATAAATAGTACTTTATGTTATGCATCATGATCCATTATCATAGTCTAGAAGCGGCTAATTTGAAATTTTACGGGTGAATAGACAGTGGTTTGAATGTTCATAAATAGAACTAACAATATACGATTCATATGACACAACTAGAGTTCAAAGGAGCATTGTTCCCGAAAAAGAAAAGAGTGATCAGATGGAATATAAGAAACTAAAATTCTAATTCAACTTATAAAGAAGAAAAAGTTGGATGACAGAGAGAGAAAGAGAGTTAAAAAGTACAACCTTTCCCGGCGTTGTTCAGGGGTTAAACCATCGTTCCTAGGTTGCTTGCCTTTAGTAGTAGCCCTAGCTTGAGCTCGTTCTCGATCTCGATCCCTCTGGTTTCCACGTGCGCTTCAGTTAAAGCTAAACAAAAGAACAAAGAAGGGGGGGAGAAAAAGAAGAAGCATCAAGTAGTTTCCAGATAATATCTCAGATTTTCTAGCCAACGAAACGGCGAGACAATCAATCCAAGATCAACATAGTTCGTTAAAAGAAAATACAAGCCTTTGTGAAACATATCAAAGGATATGAGTCATTGTTGTTGATTGATTCTTGTTGGAGCCGATAGCTAGAAAGCACAGAAAGATAGAAATCAAGAAACAATCAAATAATCAATCCCAGAAAAATTAGGAATATTTCGGAAGAGAAAAAAGAGAGGAAGAGAAATTGTACCTGAAGAGGAGAAACGACTGACAGAGAATGCGTGGACTCGGGCAAGAGAGATGCGACTAAGAAGGGACAGGATTTGGAATCGAAGAGTCTAGACGGGGAGAGAGATAAAGGAAAAGCAAAACGAAGAAAGCAACTTTATTGGATGAGAAGAAAAGACATGTTACAGTCTGTTTGGTTTCCAAAGCCTAAAAGTTGAGTGAAATTTCATTTGATAAAAATTAATTATTATAATAAAATTTATATTTAAATATATTTTTTAAAAATTAATTAATACATTAAGAATTATTTAAATTATGAGTGTAAAATATAATTTTAAATATATAATTATTAAAAATAATATTAATTTATGAAAATTTATAATTTTTATTGTATAAATGTAATATATTTAAAATATTTAAAAAATATGATGAAGATTTTAAATAATATAAAATTTGATCTATAAAGCTGAAAATTTGATATTTAGTTATTTATATTTTTAATTTATAATTTTAAAAACTTATATTTTTATTATACATTGATGCTAAAATTAATATGATTAATTATTCAATTTATAATTTATAATGTTAAAAATTTGATATCTAATTATTATTATTGAAATGATAATTATATTTTTAATGAATTAAATATTTTTTAAATAAAAAAATAAGAGATTAAATTTGAGATAGTATGGTTAAATAATACTTCACTTTTCAAATTTACTTTTTAAAAACTACAAAATGCAATTTCCAATTTTTCACATTTAAATCAAATTAGGAAGTCTTTTTTAAAATACATTTAATTTCATAAAATGATCACAAATAATTTTTCACATTCAAAAAGTAAAAAAAAACACTTTTACAATGTGAAAAGTAAATAAATCAAACGGTGCCTTAATTTTAAAGATTCTTTAATTACAAGTGTATGTGTTTAGCTAGAGACGTGTTCTCCATTTCACATTTCACAATCCTTTCAATAGATAAAAAGCTGAAAAACAAGATAGAGAATATTCTTTTTTTAAATTCTAATTCTTTCTCTCTCTCTTTTTCATTTCTTTCGTTTTCATGTTCATTGCTGCAACCACTTTGGAAAAGTCATTAAATTAACTTTTTAGAAGTCCAATGAAAGTTTTTTAAATTTATTTTTAACTCTAATCTTATACTTCTTCCTATCTAGATTATGAGTCACCTCTTAAAAGGCAAACTTTGTCCACAATATTAGTCAATCAAATTAGGATTTTGTATTTTAAAATAGAATTCCCAAAATACCCAACTCTTTCTCTTTCTCACTTTCTCTTTCTTGATACTTCTAACTTGCTCTCTCTCACTCTCTCTTCCACTTGTTCTCTCATTGTCTTCGATCTCTCTTTGTCAATCACCTCTTACCATCGAGCTCATCATTCCTCTATTGCAATTCCTCCTTCGTTGTAGTTCGCACAAGTCTCGTCGATAAATTTGTGGTTTGAGATATCACTAGATTCTCGCTGATGGAAGAGTGTTTTGAGGGTCTGTTGTGGGATCAACTAATAAGGTGAGTAGTCGATGATTCTTTTGATGGGGAAGAAGATTTACGGCCACTTGACTTCTCTGGAGAGATAACCTCTTTAAATCAAAAGTTTTTGAAGGCATCTCATCTAAATGATTCTTCCCTTACGTCTTTTTACTTAGTCTAGGCTGTGCATGAGAAAAAGGTACAATCGTTTGATTTGAATAAAGAGGCAATCAAGGATGGCGAAGAAGTAAGTGGTGGTAACGGCAACTTGATTCTAGGGTTTGGAAAAGCAAGTGAAAAGAAGAAGATTGTTCACCCATTCGACCTGAATAAGTTTCCATTTCCAAAGGAAGACTATAAACATCTGACTAAGGAAGAGAAGGACTATAAGCAATTTGTGTATGACACTTTGCATTATATGCTTTGATTAGTCTCAAATTTCTATGCCTTTTGTGTAATTTTGGTTAGTCTAGAATTTAAGCTTATTTTGATCCATGATGGAAGTTAAGCTTATAGTGTGTTAGTCTAATGGATGATGATATTCGAGATGATGATATTCTATTTTATTAATCCACTTATATTATATGTGCATCTCTATTATGTTCTATTTTGTTACAATGCATGTGTTCTGTTTTAATGGAAAATGGATCTTGTATTGGGATCTTATAAGAGAGAGATTTGGCCAAGATGTAGCCTTTCTAAGTGAGCTTTATTATTGCTCTTAGTTTCCCCATTAGAAGATAACTTAAACTAGAAAATGAGATTTGGTGTCTTCAACTATTGCATTAAAATTTGGAAATACCAAGTGATAAATTTTTCCTAGTATGGTTCTTATACCTTATAAATTCATGAGCATTAACCAAAGCTGCAACCTTTCTTATCTCAGCTTCAGTTGCATTCTCTTTCCCATAGGCAATGTTTTCTTGAATGGTCCCACCAAAAAGGGTTGGTTCCTAACTTACAAGGGCAATATATGACCTTAGCTCTCTCAAGTTATAGGATTTGATATCCAATCTATGCACACCATTCCATCTACTGGTTTGTAAAATCTTTCAGTAAGAGCAATAATAGTTGATTTACCATACTGCTTACTTTAGATAAGTTAGAAGTCATGCTTTTGGTTTCTGCAATAATATAAGCACTGAAGAATAATATATAAAATGATTCTTTTAGCTCTTAAATCTCAGTTCTTTTTTTAAACTCACAACTAATTAATACACTTTGTTCAGATTTTCTCCTATTTTTTAAATCAACTTCATTCCATGCATGAATTAATTTCTCTTGCATTACTTTGTTCAGATTTGTGTCACTTTAATTAGTTTCTTCCTTTATCTTCTTTGTTTAACATCTATTAAAAATTAATGCTTCATTTTCAATGGCATCTATTATAAAATATTAACTGTTAATATTATGTGTTGCAATTTACATGACAAATTGTAACACAAAATATTAATGACCAAAACATAGAGGATCCACAAAAGTATCCACCCCTTAATCTGAATCATCTATCACCTTGTGCTAAGTGCTCCAATACTTCTTCAACTAGGTAGGGGTCACACTTAAGTTGATTATGCAGTTCCCCTCTTCTTTCCATAATATCCTTCTTCCATACTTGCTTGTCTTTCTATGACTTGCATCCCCTGTTTCCTTAACTTGATGCCAAATGCGTTGTGAAATATCTCCTTTACTAATCATACTTAACCAATTAAACTTATGGTAATCAATAAATTAACCCATTTAGGAGATTACCAAGTTTTTTATTTTAAAATCAAGGGATCTTAAGTTTTTCATATGAGTTTAAACCATTCATAAACTCTTATATCAAAGAAAAAATAAGTTACGGAAGTATGAGATACTTTAAAGGAGTTAAAGAAATTAAAAATAATTGATAAAACAACGTATTTGTTGCAGAACAGGGCAATGCGCCATGGTTTGTGCACATCATGCCATAGCATGTTGCTCTTTATGTCACGTGTCACAGCTTAGGCGCTAATGCATTACAGCATATTCCACATTTTCTTGATAGCTAATTTTACTATCATTTGACAGCAAAATCAGGCAACTTTTGATGCGCTTTGATTCTCTGTCTGACGTTTGAATGGCATGATCTAGGTATTTACAAAAAGCTCTTTTCATAAATTAACTAATGGCACAAGTTTCACTTTCAAAACAAGTCACACTAGGAATTTGGATACTGAAACATATTTTCACAACTTTTACAAAAAAAAGGTGTCTAAAACCTATAATAAATGCCAAAGGTATTCCTAACATCCAAACTATATTCCTTAGACCTACGACTACTAGTATAACACAACACATGCTTACAATTGCCAGTATGGTATAAAATCACTCCTCAACCCTTTTTAATACCAAAAACAAAAAGGGAAGGTAATTTGTCTTGCATTGCATCAAAATTAATCATAACATGTTTGAAACATCATTTCTACACTTGCATTAGTATTTTAGCCCTATCAACATATATAACTTATCACATGCAATTTTTCAAGGCCTAAAATATAATTGAATCATTGAAATAACCATATACTACAAATGTAACCAGAAACACAACCTAGAATTGGCAATAATATTCTATTATATAAAATAAATATAAACTAGAGGCATACAGTAGGAATATATTAATTTCTAAGCCTCCTAAGCTTTCTCCCTCATAGCACCAAAGCTAAAGCCTGTAAAATGTTAATTAAAATGGGTGAATCTAGTCATTCAGTAACTGAGGTAAAACCTACCTTATGCGATTATATATTAATTGTAATCAAACAAATATATATGAGATCAAATTCTTAAAACATGTTTGGACAGATATCATAAATTATTATTCTAGTTAACACATTTTTCATCTCACACTTACTAGGTACATAGTCACAAGACACCCAGACATGTAACCATAACCCGATATATCACACGACTTGTTACAACTCAAAATGTGTGACATGTCATATAAACTCATAGGAAATGATCAACCAACCTTATACCCTCCTTATTTCCTCCGATTGAAATCATAGGCTATATCATTGAATAGGGCTCTATTTGTATGACTGAACTACTTAAACCCACCAATCGTGAGGTGTGACTTGGCCAAAAATCACTACTCACTTTTGGACCATGGATTCCTCCACTTTTAAATCTTTAGGGTGTCTATGCTCTAGGCTAATTCTCTTCGATAAACTAGTAGAGATAGCTAGGTTCTAGTTCCTCAATAAATTATGGGATAGTCCCTCGAAAAACTGTCAGACAAGGCTAAGCCTCCTAAACCCTGGACAAACTCCTGCCTATTGATCATGCCATATACAATGCTCACTCATTTTCATGTTCTCATTTATTGATTATCATAATCAACACATTGGGCTCACGATCACGTGCTACCTAAGTGAGTATCTAATTCAATTTCAAAACATTATTCTCACTTATCATAGCAATCAATTCTTTATCAATCCATATTTACCTCATCATAATAACACATTCATCTTCCCGAAGGTATATACATGCTCCTAGTTTGAAAACTATCTTGATTTCACATTTGTATCACAAGCTAGATATAACATTATGTGTAAAAAAGATGTCCTAAATTAAGACATAAATCATCACACTAACCATAGTTAATTAAGAACCAATCCAAAATGATTATCCTAGAAGAGATTA